AGCTGGCAGCTCATGGTCGCTGAAGAATGTGTTCTTCAGACCACTACAGAAGGACACAGCGAGGTCCAGATCTATGGTCGAGCTACACGAGTAAGCATAGCCGCCATGTTCCTCCGTCTGAACGTCTTCATGGAGACGATAACGATTTAGGTCCAATCCCTCCCCTCTGAAACTTTCAGTAGTGAAGGTGTGTAATCAGCTTCAGAGAGCTAGCAGATAACATTTTGAAAAAATAAATCGTGAAAAAAATATATAGTTGTCAAAAATGTGTCTAAAAATATCCCATGAGCCTTTTCTTCCTCATGTGTTGATGCGCTCAGTCTGTGAGTCAGAGCCGCTCTGAATAAAAGAAAGGATGATTGTGAATCTGCAGAGCAGCTTCTATTCCTGCACACAGAAGCGAAACCACAGTGAAATATGTTGTTGTTGTTGTTGTTGTTGTTGTTGTTGTTTTGGTGAGGAGAACTCGCAGCAGGAAGTGCTCAGACTGCGCCGCTCTCTGCTGCTGCAGCCTCCACAGATAAATAACGTATCACCTGTTCGGTTATGCATTCAAATAAAAAACTACACTGCAGCGGCGAGCGTCCGTTCACAGCCCAGAGAACGGTCTGCGGGGCCTCACGCTGCACTTTGACCCCGTGCACCTTGGCAGGCGGTGAAAGAGATTTCACATGAATCAGGCCTTTGGATGGCGAGTGTGCGCGCCGCTCGCTCCTTCACGTCGTGCGTTTCAGGAATGTGTGTGTGTGTTTTTTTTAAGGACTTTCTTTAGGAGGGCTTCTCGTCTTTCTGCCTCTGAGAGATCTCTGAAGTGTAAAGTAAGCAGAGGAGTTTCAGTCTTCATTCCACCTGCCTCCTTCTACACTGAGACAAACTTAAGGACCAATAACTTATCGTTTAAAACATATATTTACAACCAGGGTCCGAAATTAACTTTTTGACTCACTGGCCAAGGTGGCAGGTAGCAGAGAGGTGATCCTGTGCAGGAAACTCAATGGAGAAAAGGATAGAAATAATCTGTTTTTAGCAACCTCACGCTCAGGTCACGCTCAGGAGCCTAAATGTTTGTGTCCATTAATCGTCCAAAACAGTCAGGAAACTACAATATCCAGAATCCTGCTGCTCGTCTTCTCACACACTCCTGCACGTGACCACATCACCCCCGTCCTTCAAAACCTCCACTGGCTCCTCGTCCCCCAGCGTATCCACTTCAAACTTCTTAATATCAACCCCCTGTCACAGAACTAATCCTCGGTCCTCCTGGGGGGACAGGACCTCCTCTGTCACTGCTCCCCCCTCTGGAACCGACTCCCATAAACCATCAGAGGACCCCCCCCCCACCTTCAAGAAATACGTCAAACCTCTCCTCCTCTTCATCACAGACAAACTCTGTTCCCATCCTCCTCCTCCGACATTACTTCTTCATTGTTTTGTTGTTCTTTAAGCGTCGTTGATATTCAGAAAAGTGCTGAATCATGATTTATTCCTGTTTCCCTCTGGGGTGTAAGTCATGTTAACGTCAGTAATCTGAGCAGCTGTCTTTACCTCAAAGCATCCTGATTGATGAAGAAGTTTGGATATATTATGAGTTAATGTTTAATAACCTGTCATACTTAACCACTTCATATTTAACATTAAAGGTGTTTATTAACTCGAGACATGTAGAGCAGAATGATTTGAGCCTTGTTGGATCTCTTAGCAGCTTCCTGGAGAAGCTATAGGATGGAAATAAGTCTCATATAAACCTGGAGGTGACATGATAACTAAGTTCAGTTAGAGCTTTGACTCTTTCTGTGAGTCATGTGTTTCATGTTTGTTGTTGATCATGGAGGGACTGGAGCTTCTACAGTTCATTCATTGTCCCTCGACTTTCAGCATAAGCTCCATACATAAAACATGCAGCGAGACGCAGAAAGAAAGCCTAATGCAGTAAGAATGTGTGTTCTCTGGCAGTGAAGCAGAAAAAAACATGCTTTAAGCCCCCAGAATTCCAGACATAAGCCATTAAAGGGATTTGGTGTCAAAGTCCGAGGGGTCTTAAGTGACTGGTAAAGATGAAAAACCAGTCCCCTCCCCTCCACACTGCTGTTTTTATGAACTGTGTCATGAAGAGCTCTGAGCACATCACTCACACACACTTCTTTTAAATACAGGAACCTAAAGGAGCCCCACCCTGGAGTGCAGATGGGACCCCTGTGTTTCATGATGTGGATCTGTGTGTTGACAGTGATGTTGAGGGTACGCGTCCTGCGACTCTGAGGGCTGTGCTCAGAAAAATTCATAAGGTGATATATCCTCAAATATGTGATAGAACGAAGCTCTGCTATTCTCTACAACTATTCTGGGGCGGCAGTAGCTCAGTCTGAAGGGACTTGGGTTGGGAATCGGAGGGTCGCCGGTTCAATTCCTGAGCACTGCCGAGGTGCCCTTGAGCAAGGCACCCAATCCCCCCCACCAGCTCAGGAGCGCCCACTGTGGGCAGCCCCCTCCCTCTGAGACCTCTCCATTAGTGCATGTCCATAGGATCCTGTTTGTGCATGTTTGTGTAGCATGTTTACTAGACAGAGTGTAAAAGTGAATTTCCCCTCACGGGATCAATAAAGTATAACTTATTATTATTAACATGAACAGCTGTGTGTGACTTAATTATCTAAACTGTAACATGTATCATCATACATTTCGTATTGGGGGGGTTGTGGGAAATAACCAGCCCTGGAGAGAGAGAGAGGGAGAGAGAGAGAGAGAGGGAGAGCGAGACGACATGCGAGAAAGGAGACACATGCCAGGTCCATAATTACATACATAAAATTACATAAAAAAAGAATACATGGCATGTGGCGGGACACAGAGCCTGCCGAGGGATCAGCTGTCATCGTTTGTCTCTGCAACCTTCAGATTCTTAACTCAGATCGACCTCAGAGTCACACAGAGCAACAAAGTTTTCATCCATCGTCTGCACCGCTCTGCCTGCATGTTTCTCTCTGTAGCACCGGAGCTTTGGAGGAATTCATTTCATTATTATTTATTTAATATTCAGCGCTCTCTCGTCTCCGTTACAACGTTTTGTTTTTTTTAAATGCTAAGACAGAGAGACACAGAGGTCAGAGTTCATTTTAAAAATCCAGCTTTCCAGGTCTGGGGATGAGTGTTATAAAATCTCCTCCCAACGATTCCTGTCTCTGTCCAGCTGTCCGCTCAAATAAAGGCCGAAACAAAACTTAAAATGTCATGTTTATGCTTCATCAATGTGTCCAACTGTAATAAAAATGTAAAAGTGAACGCCCTCATCATGTTCAGTCTGCATAACGTGAGAGTACAGCTTTCATGGGCGTCATGAGACCACCATGTGAACGACTGTTCTATAAATCTGTCAGAGTGAAGTTTGATCAAGAGAAGTGGTTCAGATAGAAGTGATTGTACCCGACCTAAAAAGCCTCTGCTTGTTTCTAATAAGCTCCACGAGCAGAAACGTGCTCAAACTAGGATCAATATTGGAGATGCTTTTGAAAAATGGAGAGAGGTTAGAACACAGAAAGGTTTACAGACCCATGCAGAGCTGGATAAACACTGAAGCTTCAGAGTCCACCACATGGGACCTGAGTGAGCATCCACTCTAGAGAGGAGGGGGGGGGAGAGACAGCTCTCTATGTTTAGAATTTAGACAGCAGTAGACATTTTAAACACTAGGGTCAGAGTTACATACTGCTCCTTTAATTATTTTATTTACTGTAATTCAACTCTAACAACCATAAACAAATATTTGCCTAAAGCCCTTTTTGAAGAAAGCTATCTCCTAAAAATACTTTCAGCACGACTGCAAGAAAAACATCCTTGGGGAAACTCTCAAAAGAGAGACTGAAAAATATCTCTCTCTCTATAATTACTGGAGAAAAACATTGAGATGTACACAGGGAGTTAGAACAGACTAAACTAATGTTTGTTATAAAGGCTTGAAGAGAAGAAAGACTTCATGAAGTTATGGACGATGAGACATAACGAGTGACAGCATTTAAAAGCTACTCAGCAAAGTTGGATAACGACACCTTTGACTGTGCAAATATTTGTGTGACATTGCTCATGGCTTTAACACACTTCATCTTGTCTAAACAGCCTGACACGGGGACGTCACAGGTTATCCACTCCACTGACAGACATGATCGTTTCAGTGCGGGGGGGGGGCTTGAGTCTTCAGCCTCCTGCCTTTAGAGACTTGTGTTGTTTCTGTTGTCGCTTTTCAAGCACCTTCAGAAAAAGGGTTCTTCCAGCTGAGAGGTTCAGTTGCTCTTGCAGCTTATCATCACCATATTTGAGGTTTCTGGACTTCAAGTAGGGCTGGGCGATATGGACCAAAACTCATATCTCGATATATTGTTTAGCTGAATGGCGATACTCGATATATATCGATATGCCTTTTATTAACAGTGAAAACACATGGAAAAATAAACTACCTGATTGTGAATTTAAAAAGTAATATTAGAAAATAAAAATGTTCCTTAAATACAATAAAAGAGAGCGAGGAGGAGCAGACAGTCAGTCATCATCAGTGAGATTAGGAAAAGGTGACCTGGCACCTCTGTAACGTTATTTTAATGCAACATAAACTATATCCATATTAACAATATTGTCTTACCTTATATCTTGTTTGAAAATATATCGATATATCTTAAAAACTTGATATATTTCCCAGCCCTAACTTCAAGTAATTATTTTTTTAAACAGTCCAAAGATAAACCTGAGCCACAATGTAGAGATCCTCCATTGTTAGTGATTAAACTGCAGGTAAAGAAAACACAGTAACAGAGGTAGTAAAATACTGCAGGAATAAAGTTCCTGTGTGTGTGTGTGTGTGTGTGTGTGTGTGTGTGTGTGTGTGTGTGTGTGTGTGTGTGCGTGCATTCTTGCAGCCTGACTCATGATGTTTACCTGCAGCAGGTTCCTAGTCATGCACCTGCTGCCTTTAGTGCTACACCACCTGTCTCACGTCACACACTCAGTCCTACCTGTCTCTGGGGTCGATCCAGCTCGTGCAATGGTTAATGTGGTCAATGTAGTAGACTTTGCCATCAAAGTCTCTGGCTTCCTCCCAACCCTCAGGTAGTGGCAACTCCTTCCTTGGCATGTCAGGCGAGTCTCCATGTAATTAACTCCTCTCTACTCAAAATCACAACGAAGGGAAACCATCGCTTTCCTCCCTCATCATCATCATCATCATCATCATCATCAGATCTTCCCACATAGATCCCGGTGCGGCGCGGTCTGGATTAGTCCATAAAAAGAACCCATAATAATCCACAACGAATCAAACTTCATAAATGGAGGAAGGGGGGGGTCGGTAGCAGGAACTATCTCACCGGGTAAAGTGGCTCCAGTGGGCTGCACTTGTGCCCCAATTCATTTCAATGTGAAGTCATCCGTGATATAAACACACCACAGTGTTGCCGTGTTTCCACTTGTGAGCGCTGTTTATACAACTTTTCCCGGAGCTAAAACTTCAATGAACACGTTTAAAGTGACCAACAATCATCCACGGTCCACGGGAGAGGCGTTAAAATCCGTTAAAAAGCCCCTGAAACTGTGGTCGCTGCCTCGTCTCCTTGCCTACAGGCCACCATGTTTAGCAGCAGTAACCGATGCTAACCGCCAGCAGCGGGGGGAACGAGCAGTCTGGAGAGCCGCGGAGAGCAGAAAGTAACGGCTGAATCCGAGCACAGCCGGTAAAATCCGGTAACTCCGACACAAACTTGTGTGTAGTTTCGTGTAATTATCCTTTCTTTTAAAAAAAAAAAAAACAGGACGGGAGAGAAGCGGCGGCAGCGGCGGCGGTAAAGTCTTTCCTCAGTCCCGATTACTTCGGCCGGGTCGACCGCTGTGAAGCTAACGACGGTTACTCCAGCTTCCGGTTGTGACTTCAAAATAAACCGGGAAAGTCCGCACGATATATTTAGACTTCCGGTTTGAATTTAAACGCTTATTTTTGTTTTTAATATATTTTTATTATAAATTTTGGTATCGAAGCAATGATGAGAAAAAATTGTTTTAATTAAAATGTAAAAAGGATTTTTTTTAAATACTTTTATATGTATTGTACATATATGATCATAAACTTTACTAAAATAACAATATAAAAAAATATCTCAAACTTATGGAGCCCCTGAAGTCCAAAGAAGTAATATATAGCCTATATATAAATATATAACTTGTGCTTACACCATAATTCTCTCGTATGCACATATTAGACCAGGGTTGGGCAACTGGCGGCCCGGGGGCCACATCAACCCTCAATGTGGCCCTCAGGTCAACTTTAACAAACCAATTAATTGGAAACATGTGAACACTGTGAAATCATGAAAACCAGATGTCCATAATAACATTTGATCACTGGTATATGTTAAGTTAAATTTCAGACATAATTGACTGTAATCGTTTTTGTATACTACAATTTGGCCCTCTGGCAGTGAGAATTAAATGAACATGGTCCTTGCTGTGACCAAAGTTGCCCGTCCCTGTATTAGACGATAACATGTGGAATCAAGTTATTATCATGTGTGTAAAAGATGATTATAATACCTTATCATTTGTTTTTTGTATTATTTTATAAACTGTGTATATTCTGTACGTTGGCAGGTTAAGTATTTGTATATTTAACTACTTTCTATGGGGAACTCGTCTGCTCAGCAGTATTTTGTTGTACTTGTACAGTGACAATAAAGATATCTTATCTTATCTTTTGTGAAATTCCTTCTCGTTCGTAATGTCGACACAGCGTGGGAATTTCTTTTCCTCTATTTGCCTTAAAATGACCTCAGTGAAAAGTCTCCCACTAAAGTCATCGCAGATTCATTTTGCTGCCATTAAATGCATCAAAAGATAAATGCTGCAGTGTTTCAGTTTAAACTTTATCTGCAACAGACTGAGTCCTTCCTCTTCTTCATTCTCATCGTTTAGAGAGAACATCAGGAAGTCTGGTTCCTTCTTGTTTTGCTGCTTTTTAATTATTTTATGGTATTTTAGTGGTAGAGTTGGCTGTCTCTCATCCAGAAGGTCAAGGGTTCAATCCCCAGCTCCTGCAGCAACATGTCTGATGTGTCCTCGGGCAAGACACTTAACCCCAAGTTGCTCCAGCTGCTTCATCAGCAATGCATGAATGGATGAGTTAATACTGATGGACTCTTTACACAGCAGCCTCTACCATCAGTGTGTGAATGGATGAGTTAATACTGATGGACTCTTTACTCAGCAGCCTCTACCATCAGTGTGTGAATGGATGAGTTAATACTGATGGACTCTTTACTCAGCAGCCTCTACCATCAGCTTGTGAATATGTGTGAATGGATGAGTTAATACTGATGGACTCTTTACACAGCAGCCTCTACCATCAGTGTGTGAATGGATGAGTTAATACTGATGGACTCTTTACTCAGCAGCCTCTACCATCAGCTTGTGAATATGTGTGAATGGATGAGTTAATACTGATGGACTCTTTACACAGCAGCCTCTACCATCAGCGTGTGAATGTGTGTGAATGGATGAAATACCTCATCTCTCGTTTATCACATTAATTTCTTGTTTCTATTTTTACTGTTTCAATCTGTCATCAATATCTGTTTAATTCTTCGTTTTCTATCCATCTTATCTTTTTGCTTTATAGTCTTATGTTTCAGTTGTCTTCTCAGGCTTCTGCATTAACACACAATCAAGCCCACAGCGCCCCCTGCAGGCCAACAGGATCATGCTGAACAGAGCGATGACTCCTGCTCTGAAAGTAAGGAACACTAGAGGGGTGACTACTGTTGGATAATGTATGAACTTAAAGAAGGCTGAAATAAAACAGTTTCATCTTAAAGCTGTTTGCACACAAAGCTTTAAATCCTCCCTGAAGCACTTTTTAATCCTGCACAAGCTGCAGCTGAAGGATCTCCTGGATGTTACTGTCTCTGGTTTTATCAGAGATGTTAGCACACTTTGCATAGTTAGAGCTGCAGCGTGCACTCATGTAAAGTGACTTCAAGTTAAACATTTGATGACGTCTGTGTGTTAAGGAAAGCTTTGGACATAGGGACAGTTCTGGAGAATGTTTATCACCTGTTCCACTGCAGGGAGGAGACGAGAGGAGGAGAGGAAGAGGAGACAGGAGGAGGAGACGAAGAGGAGTCAGAAGGAGGAGACAAAGAGGAGACCGGAGGAGGAGACGAAGAGGAGATAGGCAGAGGAGACGCTGAAATTGGTGAGAACAGAGAAGAGGTGAGGAAGAAAGAAAGTAGACAGAAAGAAAACATTGTCAAAGGAGGGAGACGAGTGAGAAGGAGAGGAGGAACATAAGAGGGGGAAAGGGAAGTGGAGGAGGAATAAGGAACAAGGGAAGGAAGGAAAGGTAGAAAAAGAAAGTAAAAGGTAAAAACTATTAGAAGGAAAAGGAAGTAAAGGGAGACGCACAGAGCCAAATAAAGAGAGTAACTATCCTAAACTCAAACCGGACACTAGGTGGAGTGCTTCACCTCCGTCTGTTCTTTGTGAGGCGTTCAGTAAAGTGAGAGTAAAAAACAGAATCTCTAAGGAAATCTTTCATTGCAGCTGAATAAAGACGATGATATCAAACCACCATGTGACCGATCTGTTCATGTTCTCACTCTGATGTGACGGTTAGACATCAAACACCAGAACCGGCTTTGACACTTTGAAAGGTCATCTGAAGCTCAGAACAAACCAGATCTATGACAGTGTCTAACCATCCTTTTTAAATGATGAGAGCATACATCTATATGTTAACTCCAGTAATCCATGGGCCAGAGCCCAACATTTCACTTGTCTGTACCACTCAAGGTGACAAAACTTAGTGATGATTTTTGAAAATGTCTGTAGATTATATTTTGGAATGATAGACTTTCCTGAGTGGCAGCTGAGTCACAGAAACCAGCTCAAACCAGCTCAGAAACCAGCTCAAACACACGTCTGTATGTATGCAAACTCAGTGCAATCACAGTGATGGTGAGTTACAGGCTGCAGGGCAAACCTTCCATTTACATCAGAACCTCATAATCATGTACACCAGGTGCTGCTTGTCAACAGGCAAGGCAGGCAACTGCTTGGGGCCCCAGGCCAGTAGGGGGCCCCTCTTAGGGATCATAAACTTAAAAACCACAGTAGTTCAAACTCTGAGGTAGGAAACCTCCCTAGGGGGGCCCCATCTGACAGCGCTCAGTTTGTCATATTTTTGATGTTCTGATTTATTTTTAAGGTTGTTAATATCTGCAGTGCTGTGTTTTTTTTTTAAAGCTTCGCCATGTTTCATTTTACTCTCCAGCCCCGAGGAAAACCTCCCCTCAGGCACATCAAAGAACATCTAATCCAATCTGATCTCATTTTTATTCATGGTTGGGTGGGTGTATGTTTCTGCTAATTCAGATTTTGGATGAAAACATGACAAAACCTGTATTTTAACCTAAATTGCCAATACAACACTATGCACACAAAAAACAATTAAATATTATACATATATATTTAATAATAATAACACAATATTTCACATGAGTGGATATAATCAATGTTTCTGTTTCTGTTTGAGTTTAAAAACATACATGTTGATGAAAGCTATATATTGGTTCCTTTTGTAAAAACTAAGAGTGCATATAAAAGTCAAATTAAGAGTTTCAATGTCCTCCTTACAGTGAGAGTAAAATTAATGTGGCTCCATTGTTAACCAAAGCTGCCCAACCATGGACAGGTGCCTCGACAGTAGTTTTATGAGCTGCTTAATTGAGTACAGAGCCCTCTTTAAAAGTGAGCAAAATGATCCAAAACTGGAACTAAATGTTAGTATATCTGATTTAATTATGTGCCTCCTGCAGGTTCAGTGAAAGTGTAGAAAGGTCCATCTACAGGCGA